AACCCCAAATCCACCTGCCTCGGGGGCGGACCCCCCCGCCCCGTCCCATTCCCCGCCCCTCCCTCCCTCTCCACCCAATCAGCGGCGTGGAGGGGGCGTGGCCGGGCGCGCGGCATATGCATGTATGCAGATGAGCAGGTGCGGGGTAGAGCACTGCGGGACCGACGGCCGGACGGACCGACGGAGGGAGGGAGGCGGTGGAGGACGACGAGGAGGAGGAGGGGGGGGACAGGGGACCATGGCGGCGGCCCCGCGGTCCTTCAGCGCCGCCGAGGTGCGGTCCCGCTGCGCGGAGGGCGCCTGCCTGGTCCGGTGCCGCCGCCGCCTCTACGACCTGAGCGGCTTCGTGCGGCTGCACCCGGGGGGGGAGCAGCTCCTCCGCCGACGGGCCGGTACCGACGTGAGCCGGGCCCTGGACGGACCCCCCCACCGGCACTCCGCCAACGCCCGCCGCTGGCTGGAGCAGTACTACGTGGGGGACATGGAGAGCGGCGACGAGCAGGTAACCCCCCCGGGTGCTCCAGGGTTCGGGGGTGGCCCCGGGTCTGGGGTGTGCGCAGTCTACGGGGACCCCCGAGTGCGGGCTGGGCAGGAGCTGGGGTGTATGGAGTCTATGGGATGTGGGTCGTATGGAGTCTATGGGGTGTTCCAGGTCCAGGGTGTCCCAGGTTTGGGGTGTAGAAAGTCTATAGGGAGCCCAGGCTCTGGGCTGGGCAGGAGCTGGGGTGTGTGGAGTCCATGGGGCGTATGGAGTCTATGGGGTGTTCCAGGTTCGGGGTGCCCCGGGTCTAGGGTGTAGAGAGTCTATAGGGTGCCTTAAGTCAGGAGTGTCCCAATTCTGGGGTTTAGAGAGTCTATAGGGTGTCCCAGGTCTGGGGTGTAGAGGGTCTATAGGGTGTCCCAGGTGTGGGCTGGGCAGGAGCTGGGGCTGGGTCCAGGCTGGGCAGGAGGTGGGGTGTATGGAGTCCATGGGGCGTATGGAGTCTACGGGGTGTTCCAGGTCCGGGGTGTCCCAGGTTTGGGGTGTAGAGAGTCTATAGGGTGTCCCAGGTCAGGAGTGTCCCAGGTTTGGGGTATAGAGAGTCTATAGGGTGTCCCAGGTCTGGGCTGGGCAAGAGCTGGGGTGTGTGGAGTCTGTGGGGTGTATGGAGTCTATGGGGTGTGGGTCGTATGAAGTCTATGGGGTGTTCCAGGCTCAGCGTGCCCCGGGTCTAGGGTGTAGAGAGTCTATAGGGTGCCTCAGGTCAGGAGTGCCCCGGGTTTAGGGTGTAGAGAGTCTACGGGGTGTTCCAGGTTTGGGGTGTAGAAAGTCTATAGGGTGTCCCAGGTCAGGAGTGTCCTAGGTCTGGGGTGTAGAGGGTCTATAGGGTGTCCCAGGTGTGGGCCGGGCAGGAGCTGGGGTGTACGGAGTCTGTGGGGTGTTCCAAGTCCAGGGTGTCCTGGATCTGGGGTGTAGAGAGTCTATAGGGTGCCCAAGGTCCAGGGTGTCCCAGGTCCGGGCTGGGCAGGAGCTGGGGTGTATGGAGTCTGTGGGGTGTTCCAGGTCCGGGGTGCCCTGGGTCTGGAGTGTAGAGAGTCTATGGGATGTCCCTGGTCCAGGCTAGGCAGGAGCTGGGGGGTATGGAGTCTGTAGGGTGTTCCAGGTGCGGGGTGTAGAGAGTCTATAGGGTGCCCTGGGTCAGGGGTGTCCTGGGTCTGGGGTGTGGAGAGCCTGTAGGGTGTCCCGGGTCTGTGCTGGGCGGCATCTGGGGTATCCAGGAGTCTGTAGGATGTCCCAGGTCTAAGGTGTCCCAGGTTGTAGAGAGCCTGTAGGGTGCCCCAGGACCAGGCTGTCCTAGGTCCAGGCTGGGTGGGATCCGGGGTGTATGGAGTCTATAGGGTGCCCTGGGACTGGGGTGTCCTGGGTTGTACAGGGTCTATAATGTGCCTCAGGTCTGGGGTGTCCCGGATCTGGGCTGGGTGGGATCCGGGGCGTATGGAGGCTGTGAGGTGTGTCCTGAGTCTGGAGTGTAGGGAATCTATAGGGTGCTCTAGATCTGGGGTGTCCCGGGTGTGGGATATACAGGGTCTATAGGGTACTCCAGGTCCGGGATGTCCCGAGCCTATAGGGTGCCTCAGGTATGCGGAGTCCCGGGTCTGGGCTGGGCAGGATCCGGGCTGTACGGAGTCTATAGGGTGCCCCGGGGCTGGGGTGTCCCAGGGCTGTAGGGTGTGGCAGTTCAGGGGTATCCCAGGTGTGGGATGTACAGAGTCTATAGGGTGCCCCAGGTCTGTGCAGGGCAGGATCGGAGCGGTGCAGGGTCTATAGAGCACCCCAAGTCTGGGGGCACTGGGTCTATAGGGTACCCCAGGGCTGTGCTGTGCAGGTCCTGAGCCATACAGGGTCTATAGGGCACCCCAGGTCCAGGCTTCTCAGGACCCAAGCCATATAGGACATGCAGAGGCTGTGTGGGGTCTGGGACGTATGGGGCATGGAGTCTTTGGGGTGCGTGTAGCATATAGGGTGCATAGGGCACCCAGGTCCAGGTCTGAGCCATAAGGGGAGTGGTGTGTGTTGGGCCTGAGCTGCACAGGACGCTCGGGGTCCCACCTGTGGAGGGTCTGGGGCGTATGGGGCACGAGGGGTGTATGGGGCAGGGGGTGTTGGAGGCTCCCGGGGTCCTGTGTGGGTGAAACCTGGGGTGTATGGGGTGCAGAGATCTGGGTGCGTGGGGCACAGTGGCTCTGGGGAGGTCTGTGGGGCTGCCAGCATCTATGGGGCCGGCGTCTGTGGGGTCTGAGGTGCAGAGGATCCCGAGATGTGTAGGGTGCAGGCTCCTGAGGGCCAGAGATGGATCGTGTCCCCGGTGCGCAGAGCCCAGTATCCATGGGGTCCCACCCCATGGTCACATTCCGTCCCGTCCCCATGCTGGGAGGCAGGGCTGATGGGTGGTGGGTTGGTGGTGGGGTCTCCAGAGGGTTGCTGGAGATGGGGACACGCAGCCCGAGGTTGGTTTTAGCAGGGCCAGGTGGCACGGGGTGGGCGATGGGTTCAGGACACCCTTCCTGGGGTGGCCAGGGACTACTGGGGTGCTGTCACCAGGGCCTACTGGGGAGAGGAGCCCGGCCACCTCCCCAGTTGTCCCGGCGTGGGGCAAGGGTGGCCGTGACTCAGCACCCTCCTGGCCGCGCCAGCGCCGTGCTCATGCCCAGGCGGAAGGGAAACCACCCCGGGGAAGTGCCACCACCACCAGCTGAACTTCCAGGAGACACCACGGCACCGGGGGCTGCCACCCCGATTCCCAGCCCTCGCCGGCACGCCATGGGCGGGATGCCCCGAGCAGCTGGGGCCCCTTTTGCCAGCCCCAGCGGCCATTTATCCCCTCGGGGACATCCCGGCGGGGTCGGTGACCGTTCGGTCCCTGTGGACTGATGTTTGCACTCCCTGGTTCTCCTCCTCCTCCTCCTCCCCGCGATGCAGCCTCCATCGGTGGCAGCGCCACAGACGGGGCTTTGTTCCGTCTGGCTGCAAACGCCTGCTCTTTTCCCTCATCCCAGCCATGGCACCTTCCTCTGTTGGGACACTCTGTTGCCACCACCTCTCTCTTCTTCTTCCTCCTCCTCCTCCTCGCGGGCGTGACGAGCCCGACGGGTTGGGGCGAAGGAAGGTACCGGCCAAACGGGTTCTGGCGCCGCCGCCGCAGCCCGCGCTGAAGGGAATTGCCACCACCGTCCCAGTGCAAATAGAGGGGGTGATAACGCCGGGGACGCAGGGAGATCACACACTGCCTGGCACCACAGACACCATCCCGGGCTGGAACACGGAGGAGGGGGGAGAAGGAAGGGGGCAAAAAAGAAAAAAAAAAAAGGAAATCACTGCGTCGCACACACCCCACGTGTGTGAGCTGCTCTGCCGGGCTTGCCACCGTCCCCCCCC